TTCTTTCTTTCCTTCTTTCTTTCTTTCTTTCTTTCTTTCTTTCTTTCCTTCCTTCCTTCTTTCTTTCTTTCTTTCTTTCTTTCTTTCTTTCTTTCTTTCTTTCCTTCCTTCCTTCCTTCCTTCCTTCCTTCCTTCCTTCCTTCCTTCCTCCTTCCTTCCTTCCTTCCTTCCTTCCTTCCTTCCTTCCTTCCTTTCTTTCTTTCTTTCTTTCTTTCTTTCTTTCTTTCTTTCTTTTTTAACATGGACCGCTTCATGAATTTGCATGTCATCCTTGCATGGGGCCTTGCTCATCTTCTCTGTATCATTCCTGTTTTAGTACGTGTGCTGCCAAAAGAGCACTATGGGACAGTTCTTAACCTCAAGGCACTCCTTACCTGGCAGGGCTACAGACAATAAAATAATTTTTAATCAAAGTGGCAGGTGCAAATTAGGTACAAGACACAGTGTCAGTGGAGGAGAAATGCCTGATTCTGCAGAAATATCAGGTGACATTTCAGACCAGTCTTTGTGCCAGAAATAATTCTAATTATTTTCAACCATTTAATTATCTTCCTGGACACCCAGGTGGATGACATTAACCATCCCTTTGTACCTGAGGTCATAAAACTAATTCCGACTGACAGAATGCAGGCAGATGTGATGTATGACACATCCAGGCTGGCCCATAAAATATGTTGGACACCTGATCCCTTCCTCTCTTCTCCTGTGGCAAGTTGGAGCCCCATACTCGAAACAGCAGCATCCCAAGATGGAAGGCTCTGGATCACTGAGTCATTGTCAGAAGGAGGGTGCCCTACCTGGAAAATCCTCAGTGGATATGGGGAAGGTGGGAAATGAATTTATTTTGTGGAGCCACTGGAATTGGGGGTTGTTTGCAACAACTAGCATGATTTATTGAATGCTTTGGAAAGTGGTATCTTGCAGGAAGTTGCTACTGTAACAAAACTATGTGGCCATTTTCTTAGCAGTTGGGCAGGAGGCGAGGAAGACACATGGCTTGCTGGTGGCAGAACATCGATGCTTTGTATTGACAAAACATGGCAAGATGGCTGTCTGTGGGATCTTAGAAGGCAGACCCCATCCCTGCCGGCTCATAGGAGTCCTTGGAAAATGGAATATTAGAAAGGTGTTTTAATTGGAAGTGGATCTGTTTGGAAAGGCAATACAAGAAAGAGATGAGCTCAGGAAGTAAATGGCTATTTGGTAAGCAGAAAATGAAAGGTAATAGGGTCCAGAAATTCAGGGCCTTGTAGGGTTGCAAAAGGTAACCTGCTTCTAGTCCCCAACCAGTAAGTATGGGAATAAAAAATAATTTGAACTGGTTAAGTGCTGGTGAACTTTCTAAGGTCCATAGAGTGACTCAGGGCCAACGTGTGAGTAAGCGCACGGACCTCCCACTCATTCCAGTGGCCTCGGACAGCTGCTGTTAAGTTGAGAGACAGATTGACAGCAGTGAGGAGGCAGGGAAATGAAGTAGGTTCCAGAATGACATCCAAGAAAGGGGTATAGTTACTGGTACAAATAGATCAGAAGTCAGTACGTTTTTGAGACGACTGTACTGCCAAGAATACCATGAGTCTGGACCCAAAAAATCCTTCAGTTGTTTGGGACTTAAAAACAAACTTTGAGTCCCCATCTTTGCTAAGCAGGAAGTGAGCTCCCAAAGCTGTGTTGCCAACAGGAGAATGCACTCCCCGAAGCCCATTCTTATGTGGCCTTGCATAATAAGGAGCAAGGAGGAGCCCCCAGAAGGTGAGGTCTGTCACGGTGGGGTCTCAGCATCCAGAGCAGAGAAAATCACCACATCCGTCCTGCAGGACTAAAGTACATCTATGGGCTAGTGATGGGTGTGAGACTTGCCTACTTCCTTTCTCCAAGAGGGAAGGGTCCATGCAGTTCCCTGGCCATGATCCACCACTATTGATTGGAAATCAGGGAAACCAGTGGCAAATCAAGTATCCCTCAGGTCACAGGAGACCAGACCAAAAGGGCTGTCCCTGTTCTTCACGGAGAGGCCAGATCCATTCAGAGATCCTGGGCCCTGAGTTGGCTACTGTAACTGAACGGGTGTGCGCGTTCTCTCTCGGGAAGAGTGTGAGCAAGCTGTAGCATGTGGGAAGAAAAAGAAAGCTGTTGATGACCAGAAGGCTGGTCAGTGGCGGAGACAATGGTCTAACTTGAATACCCTGCCTCATTTCCCTCCTGGGATACAGTAAACGGCATTTCCCTTTCTCCTGCATCTGGATTCACTCTGACCAATGTAACATGGGCAGCAGTGATGCAAGCCTGTGTTGGCTTGTGCTATTTAAAGAAACAATGAAAGCTTCCACACATACTTCTCCTCTTTCTTCCTTTCTGTGCTGATCTTAGAGGCCACGAGGTGGGGACGGCAGTGTCCTAAAATGTCCCTACCACATGGAGGAGAGCCTCTCAGGAGAGTCACCCAACCTGGGACATCCACACAGGACTTGAGTAAGTGAGAGTGAACTGCTATTATGTTGAGGCACTGAGGCTTAGCATTACGTACCTAAATGATATTTTCTGGAGTACAGATCAGGAGTTCACATGGTAGATAAGGGGAAGGAAACAGGGTATTCAGCTACAGTGAGGACAGAGGCTGAAGTGCGTTCACCGGAGGGGGCCTGGGTTGGAGGTCATGAAAGACAAGACTGAGGATCTGTCATAGGCTGGAGGAGACGAAGGACACAACAAATTAAAAATGATGTGGGATCCTGGACAGTAAAAGGACGTTCGAAGAAAAACTGGTACAATTTCACACGATCTATAGTTTAGCGTTGATTTCCTGGTTTGACAATTGTATGAAGGGCATATGGGAACTATTTACCATTTTGCAACTTTTCTATGATTATCTAAACCTATGACAAAGTAAAAGAATTAAAAAATACATTTCAGGACATGGCATCAGATTGAACAGCTAAGCAGGAATTCAGGAGTTCTGTCAAAAGGGCCTCTGGAAAGAGGTGGGGGGATGGGACAGCTGGTAAGGTAAGTAAGGCAGGTGGAGGAGGCAAATGGAACCCCCAGCCATCCACACAGACATTATTCTGTCAATGGCTCGGACTCGGATACCAGATGCCCATGAACGTGGCTGGGTCCTGACTCAAATGGATGTCCAGGGTGACTTGATACTCAGTCTCAGAGACTGAGCTGTTGTTTCATCCATCTTTTTCTGTCCAGCCAAGATTCATCCTTGGAGCTGAAACCTGGGTATGCCTGGAGGTGGAGAAAAGTGAAACAAGTAGGGAAAAGAGGTTATCTCCAGCCAAAAAAAAGAGGCTATTTTCAGTTGAGAGACACTCAAGATTCAGTATTCTAATGCCTAGAACCCAAACTTTCCATTATGGACATGGTGCTACCTGACCCAGCAGCAAGTTGGGGTGAATGTATCTGCATTCATCATCAGGTGGGGGTTGCGCCGTATCACTGGCCTCCAGCAGGTACAGAAGGTATAAGCGAGTTGCACAAGCACGTGCTTCAGAGCCTGACACATGTGCCGGCTATGTTGCCTCTTTTTCCTTGTGGGGAGTTCTTCATGTCTCGTTGACTGGGGGAGAAAAGCCCTCATGTGTGCTTTACGGATGGTCTTGCACAACACGGAAGAGCCAACTGGAGGGGGTTTACTGCAGCATATCAACCCCAACAGGAAAGTTCCAGGAAGACCATACTGGAGGGAGAACTCCCCAAAAGCCAGAGGGCCAAGCAGTTCATTAGCTCTTCCACTCTGTCAGGACTGAGATTGACCAGGACAGAGCTACACTCAGTGACGGGTGGCAGCTACTGATTTGTGCGGTTGCTCAGAGACTTACAAGGTCCTGGACTGGAAGACTGGTAACAAGGAGGTGGGAGGGAGAGGTACATGCACGGTCCTCTCAGCATTTTATGTGAAATCTTTGGATTTCCAAATGTAACCAATTTAGAAGTTTCATAAACACTGCACAGCCCAAACAATGCATGTCCTTGGGCTTAACTTCAGCCTTGGGACACTTGTAAATTATAAAAACAAAATTGAACAAAACAAGTGTTAGAGACCTGCCATGTTCCTGCACTTCCCAACAAGTCGGGACAAACAAAAAATCAGAGATGAAAGGAGAAATGTGTAAGTCTCTTCATTTTGGGCTCCAAAGATTGAGGTTGGGAATTCAGGTGAGCAGAGGATGCTGTGCAATGTCCTTCATTATCACCGGAGCAGGGCCGCCACGCCCGACTATATCAGGGACACGATACATGGCGGATTTCTATGACGTCAGATGCAGCCCGAACTCGCTATTCACGTTATGTCTGCAAAGCTGCACCACACACCAAATTAGCGAATCCTGAACCGTGGCTCCTAAAGAAGATGCAGGGTTAGTTTCCTCTGAGTCTCTTGTCATAACATTTTCATCAACCAATCAATACATAATTCTGTTTTATTGTTAATTAATGAATTATTGAAGACACCTTATTTAATGTATATAATTGATCAATTAACATTGGAGTCACTGTCAATAGCACTACAGCGTATGCCTGAACCCGCACCTTCTCTGCAGGGGACAACACAGCCTTCTTGCCCTCAGGATCACTAGACAGCGCATGGGCACTGTTTGAGCCACTTGAAGCCGGGAAATCAACAAGAGGCCCCCAAGTGAGGAAAACATGGTACTATGTAGACTTGCATAAGGGACACTTGTTTGCAGTAGGGGCTGTTGAAACAAGAAGGCAGAGTCTGGCTTTGTTCTCTCTCAGCTGGAAATGAGCACATTGGGTGACATTTTTTCCCTCACTCTACACGTGCCGGTGATTGACCATGGCAGTGTTGCAAGTGGTGGTTTGGGGGGGGGGGGGGGGGATATAAATTTCAGCAAGCAGGTGAATCGGGAATATGGAGTCCCTGAGTAAGGAGGATCGACTCTGTATGTGTATGTCCACATATGTGAAAATTCCTTGTGTATGAGATGGGGAGAGATCAGGAAGGCAGCACAGACAGGTAGCAAGAGTGGAGCGACAGACATCTTCCCTCCATGCCAGCTCCAGCACACCCATTACTCCAGCGGTGTTTGCAGACAGGGCTGGGAGGGCACAAGGTGTCACTGAAGTCAGGGATCACAAATCTCGGAAGCTTCCATCTTGTGACAATCCCAGGGGCTCCATGTGGTGTGTAGAACGTCCCAGGGGAAAAATGCTGGCTGACTGGAGATGGGTGACAGGTGCTGGGGAGCCAGGACAGCAGGTGTTTTTCCTTGCGGAGAGTTCTTCATGTCTCGTTGACTGGGGGAGAAAAGCCCTCATGTATGCTTTATGGATGGTCTTGCACAACACGGAAGAGCCAACTGGAGGTGGTT